TACTGCAGATGGTTTCTTAATTTCTTTCTCTACCACCTTTTCTTCTTTATGTAGTTTGGTAACTTCTTTCTCCTCTTTAGATGGTTTCTTGACTTCTTCACCTCCTTTGGAAGGTTTCTTTACCTCCTTTACTTCCTTGGGTGGTTTCTTGACTTCCTTCTGCGCTATAGGAGGTTTTTTGAGAGTTTTCTCTTCTTCAGGAGTTTCCTTCTTTTCTGTAGGTTGTTTCTTGATCTCTTCTTCTTTTTTTAAGTGTTTCCTGGCCACCATCTCCTCTTTTGTTGGTTTCTTGACTTCTCTTTCTTCTCTGGATAGTTTCTGGATAGATATTTTCTTCTTCACTTGTATCTTTATCTCAGGTATTGTCATGGAGTCGTTTCTGTTTATATGTGACTTCATAGCTTCTGCTACTTCTTTGTGGGCTTTCTTGATTTCTCTCTCATCTTTAGCTGGTTTCTTGGTTTCTTTCTCTTTGGATGGTTTCTTGATTTCTTTCTCTTCTTTGGATGGTTTCTTGGTTTCTTTCTCTTTGGATGGTTTTCTGACTTCTTTCTCTTCTTTGGATGGTTTCTTGACTTCTTTCTCTTCTTTTGATGGTTTTCTGACTTCTTTCTCTTCTTTAAGAGGTTTCTTGACTTCTTTCTCTTCTTTGGATGGTTTCTTGACTTCTTTCTCTTCTTTAAGAGGTTTCTTGACTTCTTTCTCTTCTTTGGATGGTTTCTTGACTTCTTTTCTTCTTTAAGAGGTTTCTTGACTTCTTTCTTTAAGAGGTTTCTTGACTTCTTTCTCTTCTTTGGATGGTTTCTTGACTTCTTTCTCTTCTTTGGATGTTTTCTTGACTTCTTTCTCTTTAAGAGGTTTATTGTCTTCTTTCTCTTTAAGAGGTTTCTTGACTTCTTTCTCTTTGGATGGTTTCTTGACTTCTTTCTCTTCTTTGGATGATTTCTTGTCTTCTTTCTCTTCTTTAAGATGTTTCTTGACTTCTTTCTCTTCTTTTGTTGGTTTCTTGACTTCTCTTTCTTCTCTGGATAGTTTCTGGATAGATATTTTCTTCTTCACTTGTATCTTTATCTCAGGTATTGTCATGGAGTCGTTTCTGTTTATTTGTGACTTTATAGCTTCTGCTACTTCTTTGTGGGCTTTCTTGATTTCTCTCTCATCTTTAGCTGGTTTCTTGGTTTCTTTCTCTTTGGATGGTTTCTTGACTTCTTTCTCTTTGGATGGTTTCTTGACTTCTTTCTCTTCTTTGGATGGTTTCTTGACTTCTTTCTCTTCTTTGGATGGTTTCTTCACTTCTTTCTCTTTAAGAGGTTTCTTGACTTCTTTCTCTTCTTTGGATGGTTTCTTCACTTCTTTCTCTTCTTTGGATGGTTTCTTCACTTCTTTCTCTTCTTTGGATGTTTTCTTGACTTCTTTCTCTTCTTTGGATGGTTTCTTCACTTCTTTCTCTTTAAGAGGTTTCTTGACTTCTTTCTCTTCTTTAAGAGGTTTCTTGACTTCTTTGTCTTCTTTGGTTGGTTTCTTGACTTCTTTGTCTTCTTTGGTTGGTTTCTTGACTTCTTTCTCTTCTTTGGATGGTTTTCTGACTTCTTTCTCTTCTTTAAGAGGTTTCTTGACTTCTTTCTCTTCTTTAAGGGTTTCTTGACTTCTTTCTCTTCTTTGGATGGTTTTCTGACTTCTTTCTCTTCTTTAAGAGGTTTCTTAACGTCTTTTTCTTCTTTGGATGGTTTCTTGTCTTCTTTCTCTTCTTTAAGAGGTTTCTTGACTTCTTTCTCTTTAAGTGGTTTCTTGATTTCTTTCTCTTCTTTGGATGGTTTTCTGACTTCTTTCTCTTCTTTAAGAGGTTTCTTGGTTTCTTTCTCTTTAAGTGGTTTCTTGATTTCTTTCTCTTCTTTGGATGGTTTCTTGACTTCTTTCTCTTCTTTAAGAGGTTTCTTAACTTCTTTTTCTTCTTTGGATGTTTTCTTGACTTCTTTCTCTTCTTTAAGAGGTTTCTTGACTTCTTTCTCTTCTTTGGATGTTTTCTTGACTTCTTTCTCTTCTTTGGATGGTTTCTTGTCTTCTTTCTTTTCTTTTAGAGGTTTCTTGACTTCTTTCTCTTTGGATGGTTTCTTGACTTCTTTGGATGGTTTCTTGTCTTCTTTCTTTTCTTTGGATGGTTTCTTGACTTCTTTCTCTTCTTTGGCTGGTTTTTTGACTTCTTTGGATGGTTTCTTGTCTTCTTTCTCTTCTTTGGATGGTTTCTTGTCTTCTTTCTCTTCTTTGGATGGTTTCTTGTCTTCTTTCTTTTCTTTTAGAGGTTTCTTGACTTCTTTCTCTTCTTTGGATGGTTTCTTGACTTCTTTTTCTTCTTTGGATGGTTTCTTGACTTCTCTTTCTTCTTTAGATGGTTTCTTGACTTCTTTTTCTTCTTTAAGTGGTTTCTTTGCTTCTTTTTCTTCTTTGGATGGTTTCCTGACTTCAGTCTCGTCTTTAGCAGGTTTCTTGGCTTCTTTCTCTTTCTTCAATGGCTGTTTGATTTCTTTTTCTTCTGGAGAAGGCTTCCTTACTTCTTTCTCTTTAGGTGGTTTCTTGATTTTTTCTTCATCCTTGCGTATTTTCTTGTCCTCCTTCTCCTCTGTTTTTTCTTTTAAAAGTTTGATTTGTCCTTTTTTAGAACGCTCCTTTATCGCTGCCTTTTTTCTGGACTCTGGCTTTGCATCTTTTTCCTCTACAGAAGGTGTTGGTTCTTCTTTCTTTTTAGTCTCTTCTTCTAAAAGAAATCATGAAGGTTAACATAGCTTAATATAGATTGACTTGTTTGTTACAGTTTTAAATGTAAAATGGTCTCCAAGCTGGACCATGTATTTTATACTTTTAGTGAATGTATTGAAAGGTTACTAACACTAAAACACAATTTGTTTGGAAACAAGAAGACATTATATGAATCAAGTTTTGGGTGTTTTTTCATCTTTCACAATTATTTTTGATAAGTTTAGTGTTCTCATGTGGCTTCAACGTACAGCGTACAAAAGAAGTAACCAAAATATTATAGACCAGTTATTAGACCTACAACATAGTCATTATCCCAAATATTCAGGCTTCCATAACATGTATTAGATTTACAGCGTTAAAAACACTATGATCACAAACACTTCACGGCATTGGTGTTAAATTATTACAGAGTTAGACCACAGAGATTTACAAAAACAAATATCATTTAGTCATTTATATGTTTTAATGCTACATAATGTATTACAGCACATCAAATCTCTCTTTGAGGGTTTGTTTTATGTCCTCATGAACTTTTGCAAGTGTTTGTTAGGAAATTTTTTAGGAAATTTAACAAATTTTGGGAACTTTCTGCATTCAAATCTTTGAGACTGAAGAAGTTTAATTTTGAAATTTTGTTCCAAATACTTAGAATTTTCCTTTGGAACGTTTTTATGTGTGGAAACTTTCATTCAGAAATTTTTACAAAATTTTCATTTTCTGAAACTTCAGAAACTTTAGATTTTTTTGGAAAATATCTGAATCTTCAGGAAACTTGTATTTAAATGGAATATTGGGGAACTTTCATTTGTTGTTTTTAGTATTTTTCTGACATTTTTAGAAACTTTTATTTGAACATGTCATTTTCTCACACTCACTTTGTGGTGTACCTGATAAAACATTTGTAGGGGGAGCGCTATAGAGCCATAAACCAACACTCTTTGGAATGACCATGATCAAAATGTAAATGTTTACTACCTCTGATCTGTGTGCAAAGCTTCATGAACTTTTGAGCATGTTCAGCCTCTCAAAAATGCTATTCACTTCAGAAAAAATGTGGCAAAGACTGATCCCACTTCAACACTTGTCATTTGGCCCTGATGTGCCCATGACAAGTTTATATAAGTGTGAATCATTATTGTGCTGAAAACACATTGATTAAACAGATATTTTCACATCTGATTGGGTAAACAGCAAACGAGATTGCTTCTAGTTGGAAAGTTTTTCTGTAACAAAACACCTTTTAAAAAGAGAATAGAATTCTGTTACCAGTAAAAAACTTGATGCTATTCTTTTAAAATGAAAAAAATAAGAGAATTATAATGAAGACATGACACTTGATACAGGATTCATTAAAAAGATTTGTTAGATCCCAAATCACAACCATTCAAAATGTCCTTAGAAAACATGTTAAGAAAATGATAAATATTCACACAAAAACTTTACATTAACAGTATTATAAACACACTTAACACCGTTTTCATTACTTGGTAATGAAAAAAGGATTAAAATTTGAGTTGATTATTGGAAGACTTTTGTACCTTTCTGACGCTTGTGAAGACTTTCAACTCTGGATCCGACTCTCCTGAGCCTCTCAAAGGGAATATGAACTTTCCTCTTTCGTTTCGGTTCAGTTTTTCCACTCTCACTGTTGTTGTTGTTTTCATCTTGATCGTAGATGATGTCAGAGTATTCGTCTAGGTCATGAACCATTGTTTCTACTTCATCCTCATCATCTAATTCAGATACTGCACTGGCATTAAACTCTGTTTCAGCCGACAGAACTTTTAGATCAAGTTGTTGAACAGATGGCTCTGTCTCCTTATCTTCATCTTCATCATACTCCAACTCCCCGTCACTCTCCTCCTCATCCTGTTTTTCCTCCTCCTTTTCAAAAACTTCACCATCGTCCAGCTCTGAAGCTTCATGGTCCTGGTCAGTTTCTAGAATCTCATATATGACATTAGTGTCATATATTAATTTGTCTTCATCAACGAAAATATCTATTTGTTCAATGTCTTCCTTTTCGTCCTCCTCCTCGTCTAGCAAATCTTCAGTTTTGGTCTCCTCCTCCTCGTCTAGCAAATCTTCAGTTTTGGTTTCTTCCTCCTCGTCTAGCAAATCTTCAGTTGTGGTTTCCTCCTCCTCGACCTCCAGCAAAATTTCTACTTCGGTTTCCTCCTCCTCCTCTTCCTCCTCCTCCTCTTCCAGCAAAACTTCTGCAATGGTTTCCTCCTCCTCCTCCTCCTCCTCCTGTTCCACCAAAACTTCTTCTTTGGTTTCCTCCTCCTCTTCCTCCTCCTCCTGTTCCACCAAAACTTCTAATTTGGTTTCCTCTTCCTCCTGATACACCAAAACTTCTGCTGTGGTTTCCTCGTCCTCTTCCTCCTCCTCCTGATCCATCAAAACTTCTGCTGTGGTTTCCTCCTCCTCCTGTTCCACCAATACTTCTAATTTGGTTTCCTCCTCCTCCTGGTCCACCAAAACTTCTTCTTTGGTTTCCTCCTCCTCTTCCTCCTCCTCCTGTTCCACCAATACTTCTAATTTGGTTTCCTCCTCCTCCTGATACACCAAAACTTCTGCTGTGGTTTCCTCCTCCTCTTCCTCCTCCTCCTCCTGTTCCACCAAAACTTCTTTGTTGGTTTCCTCCTCCTCCTGATACACCAAAACTTCTGCTCTGGTTTCCTCATCCTCTTCTTCCTCCACCAAAACGTCTGCTTCAGTTTCCTCCTCCTCCTCTTCTTCCACCAGACCTTCTGCTTTGGTTTCCTCCTCCTCCTCTTCTTCCTCCTCCACTACTAAAACCTCTGTTTTGGTCTCCTCCTCCTCCTCTACCAGAACTACCTCAGCCTCGGTCTCCTTCTCCGCCTCCTCCCCCTCATCCTCCTTTTCATCTTCTCCAGCTCCTTGTTTCTGCGCCTCCTGCTCTTCTTCCTGGACCTCATCTGCTGTTGTATCTTCCTCCTCTTGTTCTTCATCGTCCTTTGATCTTAATTCCTCTTCCTCTTCGGTACCAACACCTTCATCTTCTTCATCCTCCACCTCCTTTTCCTCCTTCTCCATGTATACAGCATCCTCGTCTTTCTCTATCTCCTCCTCCTCCTCTTCTGCCTCTTCCTTTTCCTCTGTGCTGACATCATCAAGGATTCCTTCATCTTCCAGTGTTGGTTCCTGATCTGTTTCATTGAGGTCGACATGTTTCTCTATTGATGTAATAGTTAAAAAATTTACTTTCTATTAATGGACTTGCATCTGACTAATGAATGTGATTAAAAATTTTAAAAACGTGTGAATACCCTCATCTTCCTCTGCCTTTTTCACATCTGCTTCACCGGCAGCTTCAGTGGGAACTTCAGCCTCTTCCTCTTCCTCCAGCTTTAAGTCTGAGGCTCCACTGAGCTCAGCATCCATGATCTCTGAAACTGTATCATTAACCCATGTAACCCGTCATATTTGTCCACAGCTTTTGCATTCCATACAGAAGTGCATGTCCACAAGAATTCAACGAAGATAAATAGGAAAAATTTACATTCATAACATTACAGAGCACACACCACATGTTGCAGTTCATGCCCTTAACCAAGTTTGATTAAAATCATCTTTCTGTCAACAAATCTTAAAAAAAGAAACTAAACCAATCAATCTATGCACACTGCTCAATATAAATACTGCAAAAACGTTCTACCTCATGTATATTAAAGGTCACATATTATGTAAAATACACTTTACTGTGTTTTTCAATCAAAACTATGTGTCCCTAGTCCATCTAGAAATCCTCCAATTATGGAGATTTTCCCTTCATGACATCACAAAGGGCAGTAACCCCTCCCCCAGGTGGGTGACACTCCCACAGCTAGGTGTTTGTTCTGCCCTCTGAGTCTGCCTTCTCACCGTAAACAATAGGGCATGGAGTGGGAAAGGCCGAAGCCACACAAGCCCTTCCAGAGAGGGGCGTGGTCAAACACAGCTCATTTACATATTTAAAGCTACAGACACAGAAACAGCCTGTTCTGAGCAGAGCTGAAATAGAGGGGTTTATAGGCATGATCAAATACAAGACCAGAGTGGATTTTTTGGTGGGAAACTTCAACATGTTTTGGGGAGCTTTAATACTTATTTAAACTGGTTGACAATTAACATAATATGTGACCTTTAACCTATCAAATACATAATTACATTATCATGTTTATTTAGCCTTTTTGCCCTATTGTCTCATTTATCCCTTTACATATTAGTCTTTGCTTACTTTGTGTTTATTGTTGATATTTAATGTTGTACTTTTGTACATAGAGAGCACAGTTCACAGAGGTCAAATTCCTTGCGTGTGTAAGCACACCTGGCTAATAAAGCTGGTTCTGATTTGTTGACAAAAAGACTAAGACCCTCCCCAAACCCCACTTCCTAAAATATTACCAACCCAAAATTAACATTTTCAATATTCTTCAGGTTTTTCTCCTGATACATGCAATGTTGACGTGTTTAATTCCACAAAGGTACAATCAAATATTTAAATCAAAACCACACATCATCCAGATGAAACAATCCAGATACATACAGTTATACAGTACATCACAGGAGTGTCAATTGTTTAAACAAGGCTGCACATGGTCAGTTGTTTGGAAGATGCTCGGACAAGGCAGGAGAAGACAACCGAGGAGTGCAACTCCAACAGACACGTATTAAAGACAACTGTTTGTGTTCAACAACATTTGTTACTTATGGTTTAAAAACATGTCAGATGGAACAAAACTGACTTAATGACAAAACACATACAATGCAGAATTCAATTAAAAGTTACATCCAAAGAAATGTCAGTGTGATAAAGAAAGAGGAAGGTGCAGAGGTGAAGAACCCAAATCCAAAACAACTTTGCATTTGACCATTCATTGAATCAAACCTGTTTATGTTGCATATCTGTTCATGCTAAGATTCAGTCAGTGCAAAATGTATTTATTCAAACAAGGTAAACAGACAGTTTGATTGTACTTTAGGCTTGCTGTGTTACACTGAACATGACACACTCCAGCACAGTTCATACAAACTGGTTGAAAAAAAACAACAAACACAAACATGCTTAAAAGGCAACACAACTCTGCTGTCCGAAATAAAGTGTGCGTATATCTGCAATGTTTAATGGTGTTTTCTTACCTTTTTCAAGAGGGGGCAGAAATTCACCTACATTTGTATAAAAGAATAAAGAAGAAGAAAAAGACAATGATCTAAATGTACTAAATTATTTTAGTGTTTCAGTAAGAAAAAAGATGAAAATGTTCCTGTGACTTACCTTTCCTTTGCACCAGATGTATTTCAGACGGAGAAGCTTTAGGTTCATCTAAAAAAACAAGAAAGAAAACACGTTGTACAAACATGGAATGAATTGTGATCATAAGTTTGAAAGAATATTTTAAGTGTATTAAATGTAAAATCAAAAAGTGAAACCTTTTTCAGTGACTATGTTCACAACAGGAGCGGAAACTGGTTCACCTAAAGAAAAGAGGAAAATACAAAACTTGAGTGATTTGTTTCCACATCAATAGTATTACAGCTTCTGATTTGTTTTTTTTGTGTGTGAATTAGAGCCGGACCGATTAACCAGCCAGCCAATAATATCGGCCGATATTAGCTCATCCAGTGACTATCGGTATCAGCTAATTTTTGTCGCAGGTTTGCACTGATATTATGAGATTTATTCATAATTTGAGTTTCATTGGATTAAACTAGCAGTTCTCTTTCTGGCTGTCACCAGCAGAGGGTGCTATACGGATTACAACAAGCATCGTCACCCTCCAGAGAGTCAAGCGGTGATGCACGTACATGCACAGTTACTTTCCAGGTGAGTGACCATCTTGTCTATGTTATGTATCTTTTACACAAGTGTTTGATAACTGCATTTGAGCGATCAACACAATAAATGTGTTTATCTTTATCTCTCTCTACAGATTTAAAATAGATCTAAGAAAAATATCAGCCGATATATCAGTATCTGATTTTGTTTCCTCCCCAATAAAAAATCCCATATCTCTCGGGCCCTAATGTGTATCTCAATAATGCAGATCATACCTTGCTCTCCAACAAGCATGCTGGACATGTAAGACACAAACAAATCTTTCTTGTCTGTGAACTCCAACACGGCATCTTCAACCACTTTCATGGGATCAACAGACACTTCAGGCATGATTCCTAAAACATAAAAAACACAAAAAAATAAGAAAAGCTGCAGTGAAGACAAATAAAAACTCAACTTAAGATTTCATTGAACATACGGGCTTATATCTTCAGATCTTATAGTTCAAAGAGAAGTAAGAGTAAATGGAAAACAAGTGATAAACCAGTAATGGTGTAGCAGATTAAAAATGTTTAAACAGACCTTGTTCACCAAACAGCATTGCTGAGAGCAGGTCGATCTGCTCTGTAGTGATTTCTGCTGTCCTCTTCACAGCTGACATGGGGCTGAATCCCACAGCCTGCTGGATATCTGAGGAGCAGAAATGCCAAGTGAAACATACCGTTAGCATGCGACAGTAGAATATACATTAAAGAGGTACATACACAAGATTAAATAAAGGTTAGAAGCCACAGCAGATTATGTACCTGTGACAATGTCCAGTATTAGATCCAGGATTGCACAGACCACATCCTGGATGTATCCTGCTACTCCACTCACAAAGTCATTAGTAGCACCGAAGGCATTTCTGCCAATGACCACAGGGTCAATGAAGCTAACGTCAGTGGATCCTGGAGAAAACAACATCCAGTCATGCCAAAGTTCCAGTTAGTTACTTGGTTCAACAAATTGTTATATCAACATTAAAAAAAGACGGTTAAGGACAAATAGAAAAAAAGTTGTGGCCAGTTACTGTATGAGTATTTTACTTGGAGAAAAAGGGATGTTAACTTTCATAATCAAGCCCAAGCTATCAGTAATAGATTAAAAAATATTCATTAGGAAACAGAATCAGGCTAATACTTGATGACAGGCGTAAAAAAAATGGATGTATTGTATATACGATTATGATATGTGTATAAATATGAAGCAACTACCTTTTGTTATATCCAGCACACTGTCTACGACTGCACAGAGTATGTCCTGGATGTAGCCCACTACTCCACCCACAGTGTCATTAGTAACACTGAAGACATTTCTGCCCAGCACCACAGGGTCGATGAAGCTCAAATCTGTGACCCCTGAAGAAACAAACAGAACATGAAGCAGTACAAAGAACACAGCTGTGATATCCATATCGAATGCTTACTTAAAGGTTAAATACTAAGATGTTAAGAGGTTAAAGATTACAGGGATGTTAAATGAGGAGAGTGAATACCTTTTACTACATCCAGAACAGTGTCCACAATGCCACAGAGCACATCCTGGATGTAGCCCCCCACTCCATTAATGAAGTCATTAGTAACACTGAAGACACTTCTGCCTATGACCACAGGGTCAATGTGGCTTATGTCAGTTTCTCCTGAGAAAAACAAGAACATCGGTGAGAGGGATATTTTAATTTATTAGCAATCAAACTTAACACGTCCAGTTTTTACTTGAATTAGAGACGATGAGGGTAAATGTTGGGTTATTAGCTCAGTGGTTTAAAAAGGAAGGAACACAAGAACCCCTTTATAAGAAATAAGGATTAGAATAAGGAGTACATACCTTTGTTTATATCCAGTATAGTATCCAGTACAGTATCCACAATAGCACACAGCGTGTCCCTGAAGGAGCCCACAATTCCACCCATGAAGTCATTCGTTGAATGGAAAGCTCGTCTACCGACAACCACAGGGTCCACATAGCTGAGGTAGAAGTTCCCTGTGGTTCATATGGAGAAATATTTAGAGGTACAGTTAGAGCATGGAGGGCAGCCATGCATGCAGAAATGTTATCGCGTAATGTTTACATCATAAGTAATTTATTTTCAATTGAAAACGAGTCAAAGGAAGAATGTGCGACTCTTTGATCCAGTAGGTGTCGCCCTTGAGCACCAGCATGAAACCAAAACAAACTGCTGTTTGGTGACACATCCGCTATTCTGAAGCCTCCGCTCTCCTCCAGCGACACACCTCTAACCCCCCTCCACTCGCTTGCGCAAAGGAGTAAGTGGCAGACAAAAATGTCCTTGGCTGGAGGTGCAATTGCCTGTGGCCTGCAATGTTGTGTTAGCGGGCTAATATTAGCGACACTAGTTATCTTGTAGCTTCACATTGCATGTAAAGTGACACAGAATGACCGCAATCTATAAATGCTGAGTATGTTATTTTTCTGTTCTCTAGTCCTTGACTAAAACAGCTTGTATGCTAGATTATGAGCCGGTCCATGTAAACATGATGTTAACACGGCTCTGACAACAACACAGCCAGCAGGACTCGAGCTTCTCACTTATTGTAGACGGTCTTGACTCAGAGAGACATTTACATAAAGTAGGAGAAACTTGAGTTCTGCTATATTGATTGGTAAAATGTCACACAGTCTTCTTTTAACATGTTGCGTTGTCTCACGCATGCATGGTCGTCTATTACTTCCATTTGTATGCTAAAACGAGTTTTTACCTTCCTCGTCTGAAAAGTAGCGCACAAGTCCATCTTTGGCTTCCGTTACTTCTTCAGCAGCGTACGTGGCAGCAGACATAGGGTCACTTAAATCAGGTGCACACTCTACGCACACAGAAAAGAGTCAAGTATTACAGCAGTTGCTTCAGCACTATTAAAATGATATGACCTGCTTGTTGTGGCTCTTTTCTTCTACCTTGAAACTTGTTGAGAAGACTGGAGACTTCATCTACGGCGTCGTTTACAGCTTGCACGGGGTCCGTCATGATTTGCTGGATGTCTAAGAACAGTCACAGACATATGGATAAATACACACATCTGATGACTCAGACATAGTTTCAGGTGTTTGGGACTTACCAGGGACTGCCTTGTATTCCACAAAGTCAAACATCACTACTCCCACCACCAGCCAGGACAGCAGAGCAGCCAGGGCAATCAGCAGCTCCGCAGACATTTTGAGCTTACCAAGGATCCCAAAACCTGTTGACCTGAGAGAGCTCGCCTGTGCCGCTCCATTTGTCCCGCCGGCTGCGGAGGACGATCTGGCTCCTTCATTAATAAAAAAGAAAGAAAAAAAAGACACTGAAGTTACTGTGAGAACTTAGTAAGATTTCCCTATTTAGTTGTCGTGTTGTATAACTTTATTTCTGCTTCTCTGGATTTGTCTGCTTTGTTCTTTTACCATCAGTGATTTACAATAGCTACTGTTTTCAAGAGGTCAACATAGACCGTATAAATATGGACGTCAACTTAATGATGTCACCCATTGGTGTCTAATGCAGACTTTTGAAGCCAATTAGGGGAAGTCGCCATATTGGAAATGCCGTCTCAAACTAACTTTCTGCTATCCTTCAGCCTCCTGACAAGCAGCTACAACGCGCCTGACGTTCAGTCGGCTCAGCCATAACCATACTTATGAATAACTCTTAGCCATAATATCATCAAATGATACGTTTTTTAATTTCAAGTAAAACGGGCATTTTTGAATGGGGTTTGTAATAATTTCGGTTATTTTGCAGCCAGCCTCTACTGGAGACCCGTTCTGCAGGTTTCAGCACTCCTGCATTGGCTCCATTCATTCAACACACTCGCTCAAACGCCACAAAAAGTTTTAATTCATCACAACGTTGAGACCAGAGGTCGCCTTCAGGTGATCATTTTTGACCGAAGGAGGTCATATGCACCGACGAGATGTGCATATACAGTAACTACCTCCTTTTTCCATTCATTCAACAACACAGAGGTTGCCGCTTATGGTACAGGGAGTGCATTACATGGAGCAAATGTGATGTGAAAAAAATATATTTTAAGTTCTCTAAATATCAAAACTGAAAGTAAGAATCTGTAAAGTGGTGGAAACGGTCTTGCTAATCATTACTCAGATAATTGTTGTTCATTTGAGTGTTTTCCAATCCCTGCACTTTCAAAACACATAACTGTTTGTGTTTGTTGGTCCTGTTCCAGTCTTCAAAAACAGTAAAATTAAAATATATTATTAAAGCACAGTGATGACAAAGAAAAGTGTTCAGCAATCAATCCACCACTGCCATGAGGTGCTGATTCAACATTTTCTAGACTCTGCTTAATGCATGTAAATAAAGAGATTACGTCTTTTTATACTGAGCTCGACACACTTCACAAATAGAGACGTTTCTTTTAGAAGAGAAGGAATATTTACTTTTCAGGTCTATCTTTGTAATACTTATAAAACAGCATTTTGAGGGTCTTTGATTGAGAATGTTGTTCAGTAATTGATAAGAAACTGATCATAACATATTTAAATAAAACATATAAGCATTCATTTAAGCCTTTAAACATGTTGACAACCTACTAAACCTACCTAAAAACATCAGTAGATTAGGATGGTAAAATCACAGCCATCCACAGCAGAATAATAATAAAGATAATTGTCGTGATCATTGCATCAGTTATCCACTCATGACAGCCAGGCACGTGATTTCAACCTCGGTACAGTGGAACATTTTGTGTTGGCATTAAATGACATCCTGGCCACCATCAGGTAACAGCGTGTAGCTAGTTTAATTTTCCAAGTGTTAGAGACCCTGTAACAGGTGAGCATGCCTGGCTCATGATTCAGTTCCTCTTATTGAAAATGCTTACATGTAAAAAAAAAAAAAAAAGTCCCTTTTAAGAATTGTGCTGGATCAACTTGTGGTGTCACTGTTTCACCCCAAATTTAGACAGTTTCTAAAATAAATGGCATGATTTTCTCAATACTTAAAGCCTTCATTAGACAAACATTTGGTTTCCAAATACAACTTTTTGGAGCATATCACATAATAAGACTTATTTATTTTAAATGGTGAGTTAAGAAAGTTGCTCTAAAAACAGAGGTCAGCTGCAGCAGCAGTCATGTCTGTCACAGGAGAGCAATACTAATACCTCGGCTATATGATATCCTGTATTTATAGCAACCAACATTCAACACATTTTCCTATGATGAGCCCAAACCCTATCAAAACACTACCATGACATTAGCATCTATTACTCAGGATGTCTACGCTCTCATAAACAACTGTGAACATAAAAGTGAACTGTAGAAGTTGTATAATGTATAAGTATAAGTGCTGATGCAGGTGTGACAGTCCTACCTTCAGCCATGGTGAATTGGAGACAATTTCAGGTATTATATTTTGAGTGGGGGGCAAAGCCTCCTCATGCAGTGACGTTTATAAAATCACAGCTTCAGTAAGAATCCAATCAGACTCCACTGGTGGCAAAAACAAAAAATAAATAGTCCCTTTGTTGTGAATTATTCCATTTTCCACTTGAGGGTCGCTGTCTTGTTTCCTGGACAATCTAATCCACAGGTTGAACTTCTCCCTAGATTAAAAGAAGAAGAAAAAACCCCTGAGATTTACAGGTGCTGGTGAATTTGGAGCTGCCAGTGCGGCAGCATTGAAGAGGGGGGTCTGGGGACGCCGGGGCAGAGGAAAGCAACGCAGGGGGGGATGGAAAGAGCCAAGCTAAGCACAAGGCAGGGCAGAGAGAGGGGAACGGACAGAAAATCCCACCCAGTGTTATTGGTGCCTCACATGGGTATAGGTCAGAGAGCAGAACAGGGAGGCTTCAGGGTAACTCGATCCCTCAGAAGGTCCTGGTTATTCTTAGCTGGAGCTCTGCACACCAGCCGCTCTGCAGGCCTTTTTTGGCATTCAAAGGGGTGTGTGTAAATCAGTTGACTGAACTGGGCAGCTCAACTGGTGGCGGTTTAATCTGCCCACTAAACTGGAACAGATCAGATGCCCATGCTGAGGAATGGACAATATCACAGGAGGAAACTTTAAAAATCCTTCAAAGCACTACAAACATTTGTGTTGACTCACTGCCAGCAGTGGTAATGTATTCTTCAAGGATTGTTTTTTAAAAATCTGTTTCTCATTAATGTCTCTAAAAGTGTTATTACATTTGGTTTGATGTCGTAGCTTCAAAGCAAACATGTTCCCCAAATTATAAACCACCTCAGAACCTCACCAATGAACCAAAAAGAAAGGCCCAGCATGTAAATTACAACAGCGCCATCTTGTGATCATTAAAGCAAACTACAACACCTTAAACTACCGTTTATTGCTGTGTATCTTAATATTTACAGTCTATGGTGCATACAGTTGTGCATTAGTACAAAGCGTACAAAGCCCCTAAAGGCCCAAAAAGTAAAAAAATAAAAATTAGTTTTATTTTTATTTTGTACTTTTTGGAAATTCAATCCCAGGGCTTCGTACATTAGTCTTAAACGTTTAAGTTTAAGTTAAACTAATGAAGTTAAAGAGAAGTAGATGTAAAAGACAAAATCATGCTAATTGATTTTGTTCATAATTTGTTAAATATTAACTTAATGTAGACGTACGTTACTGTACCAAATGTGGTTAATATTGATGCTTTAGCTGCTACATGGAAAAACTGCAAATAACAATCTCCTGTTAGCACTGAAGGAAAGTCACTTCATGAAAGCTACTACTGGGACTCACCTTCTCAGAAAGTTGAATATCAACAGGACTACAACATTTCACAACAATTCCTCTGAGAGCTGTTCAGATATCTGACAATTGGAGAGTTGTTTTACTCTCACTGGGGCCACGCCATAAAAAGTGCTATAAAATGAGCATTTTCAATAAATACACAGTGAAAAAACTTTATTGACATATGAAAAAAAAACCATCTGTTGGCCTGCATATGATACATGTCATATAGCCTACCATGAGCTTATTGGCTTTAACTGGAGCAATAAAGAGATTCACAAGCTGCACAATATTCCAGATAAAATGCATTAGAAACAAATCAAACAAATGCTTCACAAATTCACTATCATGTATGCTTTTTACAGGGAAGTTGCAGAGCTGGGGGCCACAGGCCTGATGATGAGGGTCAGCTCCATGGGTACAGGTGGAGGAACATATCTCTCCTCTCTGAGCAACCGTAGTAACAAATCCTCAGTGTCCTGTGGCCAGCGGTACACACGAGTGTTCAGGAGCCAGGTTGGTACGTGCTTCTGCATTTTTACATTTTGTGTTATGGTTAAGAAAATGTTGTTTAAGGACAGAAGTGGGGGGGGGGATAAGACAAGATATTAACAAACCTCAAAACTTCAGAGTTAAAATAAATGCTTTGGTTGTTATTATAAAGAAATAGTCTTACCTGGGATGCATTGGGGAAGAGAACAGGTATGAATCTGAAGTTCAAACTGCCTTGCTGAATAAATTCAGTCTGCATCTGGCAGAATAAATGTTATAATATAATATTATTATATTCAAAGTTTTAAGTATAAGCAAAATATTCTCTCAGAATTATATTTTATTTACAGAAGATTAAAAAAAAAACAAAAAAAAAACGTCCTCACCATGGAGTGAATATATTTCGTCTGTAGACCATGACTGTCCACGACTGATCCTTCAGTGTCATCCTTATATTTTGGACTGATGGCAACGATAATTAGGTTTGATGGCTGTGGGAAAAAAAAACATGTTACTGGCTTTATCGCTGCCTGAAAAGACAACAGCAACGTGGAATGTAAATAGATTTGTTTTCTCTTAGTAATTGCTGATTTTTTTGTACAATGTTTTGCAAAGACTGTATTTAAGGTTTTAAGAGCTGTTTTCCCCTACGTCTTTCAGGTAGCTATCCTTCCACTTGTTGATGTCCATGCGCCTGATAGGGCTGTCAAATATGTCAATCTGAAAAATGACATTCAGTAGTGTAAGTTTACAATCAAATGCCGACCAGAGGCTGTAATGTTTTTATTTGAAGTGCACACAAAGTGGCTTACAGCTGGTCGGAAACCTTGTTTTGTGAGAAAGTCCACGAAGGGGACGATCTCTGAAGAAACGTCAGAAGAATAAGTTATAAAAACATTTCCTGAAAAGAAAATAACAGAAAAATCCAAATTAATATTCAACAGCTTTGTGGTCTTGAAACTGCAAAAAAAAAAAAAAAAAAACAAGCCCCAACAGGCCAGGCAGGTTTGTTAAAACAACATACATTAATAATAAAAACACACCCTGATTCCACCTCTAATGACAAAGGCACTAATTAAAAGCATTTTTCATTAAGTCCCTTACTCAATAAACTCAGGAGCTGTCAAGATTCATTTCACTCAATAGAAACTGAGTGGCACAAACAGAGGGCGGCCTTAAACACGAGCACCTTCCTTCAGAGTGAAATGACTCACGGCACTCATCCGGCAGACTGATGGTCCTTCTTTTCTCGTGTTTATGTGAGACGGACTCCTCTGCTGCTCCGGCTGAACTCGGGTTCATGACGCTGACCTGTGACACGCCCTCCACAGGCGGGTTGAAGAACTGGGGCACGTTGACCGAGACGCATCCCTGAGCCAGGCTGGGGTTCATTAAGTCATCCCGACTCCTGAGCCTGAAGCAGCAACATAGAAAAAGATTCAGAAAGGCTCTGCATTTGAATAATGCTGAAAGGTAATGAGTTTGGGTGAAAAAAAGAGCTCTGGTATATTGCATTTTGCATAAATATTAACCATGAAACTCAGTTCTGTTGTTTTTACCAGTTGTGGGGGTCATCGTAGGGTCTCATGGGCTGCCGGGGAGCAGGACAGTAATATGGCTGAGGAGGGAATCTGTTGGTGGGATTAAAGTTGTTCTGCCTTTCTCCTGCAGTATCATAAAACCTAACATCCATGGTATGACGAGGCTCTGTGGATGCAAAATATTTCTTTGTGAAAGCACCTGATGAAAAGTTGACGAGCTTAGAGGCAGAATATACGCCCCCCCCCCCCCCCCCCCACAGTTCATAAAAAAAGGCACAAATGAATGCAAATCAAGTTTTTAGCATAATAAAAACTCAGCTGCTGCTAACTGAAGCTTTCACTGAAGGTTAGTTACACAAGTGACCTACCTGTACTTAACTTAAACACTTAAACATTTTCACCATAGTTAAGGATGAATTATGAACATTTTACAACAAATCCTCTCAAATGTTAGGTTGCATTCATTTACGTAAACAAATGCGTTACATAGGACTGCAAATCATGCACTTACTTACCTGCACAACTGCGTCGCTCCTTCATTGCACCTTTTGTACATTTTTATATTCTATTATATATTTTGAGTTGCTCTTTATATTTGTATCTTATTCTCTTTAAGTTGTCAGCAGGAGCTCTGCTGTTTTTATACTTCCTTTGCCAAGTCAAATTCCTTGTATGCGTAAATGTACTTGGCAACAAAAACACGTTTTTTTTTCCTAACATTAAAATCTTGCTGAAATTATTTTTCGCATTCGTAATAATAATGGACATGAATAGGCAAGTTTTGAAATGGAACATAGTAATGCATGATAACTTCTACTTTTTATTCTGTTAATATAATGTTTATATCATCAGCTAGTATTTTTTTTACTGCTGCATTTCCTTCTGTAACCTTAACTTTTTTGGTTCTCTTGTCATTTTTACAGTTTTGGCATCATCTGGTAATAAATAAATAAATAAGTAAATAAACTCTCTCGGCAGAGTTCTCCTACCATAGTCGTGTCTGTGGTGTTGAGGAGGAAGATAAGGACTGTAGTGTTGCCACTCATCATCAGCTCTTAGCGGCAAAGGAGGCTCAAGTTCCTCCTCATCGCTCTGAGGTTGAGAGCTGTAATCACCCTGCTTTCTAGAAACGCTAAAGAAAAAAGAAAAAGACATCAACCCATAAAAACATCCAATCCAATTCAAACGCCTTATTTTTAACGGAGTTCCTGACATCGACATGATTTTTTTCCTCAGTCACCTCATGCTGAGTGTATTTGCAGGTCCTGTTCTTCCACTCTGCTTTCCACAACAGCAGCACTCTCCTCCAGTGTCAGTCTCCTTGGTGTGTGCAGGACGATAGAAGTAACCACCCGGAGATGAGTGATGATGGAGATTCATCCCGACAGAAGTCGCTCCTCCACGGTCCGGCTCTCTGTGCTGCATCAGATCTTCACTTTGTGCAGCATGAAACATGAACATGTGGCTCGCCTGTTCGACTCTGCGTGGGCTCTTCAGGGAGAAATAATCAGCGTCCATGTAACAGAGTGGTGTGACTCTGTCATGATGTGGATTAGCGTGAAATATTCTGTTTACTGTGACTTCAGGAGTGAAAAATGGAGGGTGACTTTTAGACTCATTTGAAGAGGAAGGTACTTTTTCAGATTTCTCCATCTAACCAGGTTAGTGCCTACAATTAAAAACAAAATGAAAATTACATTTTTAATGCATAACCAAAGCCATACATACATACATACTCTATTACATAAACAACACATGAAAGCAACTTCATTCATATAAAAGAATCCTTTGTACCAACTAGGGCAAGTAGACTGTAGAGAGAAACAAAGACCTACCTGTTCTCTGCTGGATTCTTCGCACTCCTCTGGGTGCAGAGGCTTGTGTGTGTTACAGCCTGCTATATGCAAATTCTTCACACTTCAGCTCTGTCCAATCAGAGCCATGAGTGTAGGGTTTGTGTGGCTCAGCCAGACCTTCCAGGAAAGGTTAGCTGGAGGACGATAGTGTCGATAAGTGGAGTTTAATTTTAGGAGTTTTGTTGAAATAAGGAACCTCATTGTGGTTATGGGAGTGGAACAAGCAGCCGTGAGACATTACAGGTTTCCTCTGGAATGACCAGCATGGAAGGTATTCCCCCAAAAATGAATGCAGAGTCTGAGGATGAATTAAAGTTAATATTTAAAGCTCAATCCATTTAAAATAAAACATCTCACAGAGCACAAATTAAAGATTGCTCCTTTGTCCTGTGTGCAGTGACCTGCTCTCTAGTCAGCAGGTAGACACCTACCAGGTGATTTGCATATATTCTGAGTTCAGTCATGTTGTCTTTGTGTCAGCTTCAGCCTGAGGTGAAATCACACCTAATACCTCTCACAAACACTACACTCACTTTACACGCTAATGACTGATCCCTGCTGTCGGCTTGCTGTCAAAAGGTGAAGCCTGGAGGAAGTTCCTGTCATCTGCTCGAAGCGCGCTAAGTCAACAGAACCATGATGGCAAGATTGTTTATTTCAAAACCAGTTGTGTACAAGTAACAGACAGAGACAATAAATAATGCAGAGACCAGAAACACTTTCTGTATATCTACAGAAGTGGGACGACACAAAAGTGATGCAAAGACAACATTTCTGCTCACTTTTAAGAAAGCAACTTGAAAACACAGAGAAATGGAAGAAAAAAAAAAATGTCCTGGAATGCACCTTCTCACACACAGAGAGAAGTTTGACACTTGAGGGAGAGACATCTCACCCAGAGCTGCAGGAGAAAGAAATATTCATGTGATTTAAAAACGACACACAAGACTGACCAAACTTAAGCGAACATAATAACACAAAGAAAATAAAACACGTTTGGTCTCGTTCTTTTCCAGATACACATTATGGAGGGACAATGTGAGTGGCAGTTTGTGTTTTTGTTTGAAGCAAAAAGGACGATGCAGAATTCTTACACAGCCTGCTGCCATACAATTATGCAACATACATTTTAAAATATTGCCTGTATAATAAGCAGTCAGCCGAACAATGACAGCAGCGGGAGAGGACATCTGCCTCCTTTCCAACTACAAAAAAAAAAAAAGCCGAACTAAAAGTTACTTTAAGCCGATCTAAAACTCATTGGCTGAAGCTAAAAATGTGATGACTGCACTTAATATTAGTGCAGATGGCATATAAGTTGGGCTGGAAGAGTCCATGATTCACTAGGTTAGTGTGTAGAAAGCATGAAGGCATTCCTTTACATTATAAGAATATTACTAAACAAGAAAAGGCAAGAACAGGTGTTAAAGTACATCTAAGTTCCTTGAGAAGAGGAGAGTAGTATTGTTATATTAACCTCGTAAAAAAAGGCCAGTGGACTGAACATCCAGAAAAACTCCTTGAGATACTTCAGTCCACCGCGTCTAACCATTCCTACAGTTATTTTGTCCCCATCTGTTACTAACTGTGAGCTGCACGCACGCTTTTCTACGAGCCGGAAATCTGAAATAACTTTGACCTTGGATTAAAAAACAAAAATCCACACATTTCCAAAATATCAAAAGTAATATAAAGGAAACACAAAAAAAAAAAGATAAGTAACAAGCAATTTATATTTACACTACATACAAGTTAAACAACATGACTTGTCTGGTTCATCCATGGCAGTCTTTTTTTTTTTTTTCTTTTTAAGTCTTCAGTCATCTCAGCGCCCCCTCCCACCTCAAAAAACATCCTTTCATTTGATGAGATTCCTTCCAGAGAGGCAGCTGTCTCCGTTTGTATGAAGTTTGGAAATCAAGAAGTCAAGTCAATGAGCTTTAAAGATCGTTACAGCGACAGGATGAGAGAGAGAGAGAGGGAGAGAGAGAGAGAGGGAGAGAGAGAGAGAGAGAGAGAGAGAAGGTGGAAGTCTGGCTCCCCCTGGTGGAGAGCTTAGTGAAATGGCATGAGATGAAGGCAGCGGTGCTCAGAGGTTGTCCCCCGGCTGGTACTGAGGCTCTGTGGCAGTGAAGTAGTCCTCCAAAAAGGCCTGCAGGTACTCAAAGGTGGGCCTCTCCTCCGGGTCTTTCTTCCAGCACTGCACCATCAGCTCGTGCAGCGACGGGGGGCAGTCCTGCGGGCACGGCATCCGGTAACCTCGCTCCACCTGCTCCAGCACCTCGCGGTTGTTCATGCCTGGAGAGAGGAAGACGAAGACATGAAGGTACATGTGGCTTTACAAAATGACTTTTTTCTATTCTTTGATGAGCTCTTTCTGTTTTGTTTTTTTTAAACAGCTTTCGGCCTGAAATGAGACAATTACAAACATTTGAACATATTTAGAAAAAAGCTAAGGTGATGCTTCCCTGCTTTCAAGGTGAAAAAAGTAGTACCTCTAATTTGACCTAATTAGACTGTATTGGATTGTATATATGAAATACTGCACAATGTTCAAAGAGGTCAAAGGTTAATGTCCATACTTAACAGTTGAATATAATAAGGTAGAGGCTGACCTGTACTTCATTCCTAAGATGTTAAACTTAAACTTTCAATATAAAACTAGCTAATATGTCTCATTTTGGAGGTAGTTGTAATACCAGTTGATACATTTGCATTAAAACATTTTACAAAGATCCTTTAGAAAACAATTTTTTTTGGAGCAGTCCACTGTCAAAGAGTTTATCTAATATCTTACTACAATAAAAAAATCAATCATCACCCATTGGGGCATGGACCACTGTTTTGAAACATTTTGGCCTCTGATTGTATTTGACAAACTTTAGTGACTCTCTCTTTATTTATGTTTCATATGTTACAACGTAAAGTATTAGTGCAACTCCGATCACCGCTGCAGCCTACTTGCTGCTAAGTGGAGGTTTAATCAGTTGGAGTCATTCCAACACTTGTGTGCATGAGTAGGGACTTTAAAGCAGAGCTTGTTAACAGATGTTAGTAGAACATGAAAAAAGAAAATCTCCTCATGCAGCATGCAAGCGTACTAAAAGATTTTTTTTTCAACCCATGTTTTTTTGGTTTTATAATAATTCCTAAATGTGTATGGTGGATGAAAAGGAAGCCTGTCACATCACATGTTCGCACCATCATCTGGGAACATTGCCTTGCATAATACACGCTGTAATCTACATTATGCAACATGCTGCTCTCTTTTTTTTTTTGCAAACAGCTAAAGACGACTTTTAGACGACAATCTGCATTAATGAAGCACAAGCAATCATCCAGAATTGATTAGGGGGTTTACATAATGCGCAGGGTTTAACGCTCTCACCTGGATATGGCACTCTGCCCTTTGTCACCAGCTCCGTCAGCAGGATGCCAAACGACCACACATCCGACTTGATGGTGAATTTTCCGTAGAGAGCCGCCTCAGGAGCCGTCCACTTTATAGGAAACTTTGCACCTGAAAAGAAATGCACATACAATATGTTCAAAATCCTTTTTTAAAAACCTGTTATTTTACCGTTGAAGCAGTAAGTAGGCCACTCTCCCTTGATGATTTATTCCCCTTCTTCAGGGATTTCATTAGTGCAGAAACATGAGGACAAGATAACGTCCCACCAGGGAAACAACGGAACAACTCCATTATCTCTCTCTGTGTTGCTTTGCACTTGGCCCAAGCTGAACAAAGTAAACAATTAAATGGCTCACAAGTGAGGTAGTGATCATGTTGACACAATGACTAAACAGAGCCTCCTGCTGTAGTTCACGTCTGCCAAACAAAGTCAGGGAGGAGCCCTCCAACCAGAGCGGGATCTCTGAAGTGTAAGGAGTCCCTGTACCAATGTGATCTTGTTTTCTCTTTTTTTGTGCCACGCTGTAACCACACGCGCTCCTGTTCCTCCACTGCGGTCGCCAAGACAAACTCCTGCTCATTTACGGCACTTAAATTGAAAAGTGGCGTGTTTGTACGAGGTGGAATAAGAACATCTGCCAGCTCACTCGACTTTTTCCTCTGACAGTGAGGGGGGTTTTCAGAAGGTGCTGTGGTCGGAGGATGTAGAGGATATAAGAGACACATGAAAATAAGACAGCAGATACGTACTGAAGTAACATCTTCATCTCGGCTTCAACAAAGTACATGAAAGAAACAGATTTTAATATTTTAAAATATTAGTTGTTGACCTTTTTATATTTCGGTTGCTGGTTGCTGCAGCTGCTGGTAACTTGTCTATAGCTTGATTATACGTTGCTAAGTGTATACTAAGTAAATCATAATAAAAAAAGGTGATCCGGGGCGCTGGTGGCCTAGTGGTTGGTGTCTGTGCACTCTCTCGCCCCGATTTCTGACTCTGTCCACTGTCCTATCTCTACAATAAAGACATCAAAAGCCCCAAAATAAAATAAAAAAGGGTGATCCCTATGTTCTAACAGCCCTATGTTCAGCAGAAGTATTATGTTGCCATGATGTCAGTAACTTAGACAGTGCTCTACAGTTTGATCCATGTTTTTCTAGCCTTGTAGTACACAGACGATGATACCAGAGAAAGAAAACTTTTTTTAAACCCCTCATGATTCTCCTGCAAGTCATGGAGTTATAAACAGCCTCTCTTCTATTATTTAAAAGCTGATTCTCTGCTGTGTGATACAAGGGATAGGAGAGATAAGGTTATATAGAGTCACAAAGCAACTAAAGATGAGTGCGTGATGAAGAATATAACGTTTGGCCATCTAAGAGTGTTTTTTTCAAAGCTTACTTTTCACTCAGTTGAGAGCTTTCAACTGGACTCTGCAGTATTCTAGCAAGCGATTTGCGCATTTTTTAAAGTTGTAATGGTGGAACCCCCGATCGTCCCTTGTTGAAATAAATCT